CTGGTTGAGCAAGCAAGAGAGAATCTATTTTTTCCCTTCCAAAGAGCAGCTCATTGTGTGTTGGTAAAGGCATTTGCAGTCACAGATACTAATGCAAATATACAGATACTAATAGAGATAATCCTAAAGCAGTGTAATACGGGATTGGCTCAGGTGAATTTAATGCCACCGATGGCTTTCTTGTGAATCGTCCCATGGCTCCTAAAGACCTGATGAGAATGTTGCCAGGGGTTGTTGTGTGATTGCTCTGGTGCTGATGTAAGAACATATAATTAGGGTTGAAAAGAAGCTCACAACAGCATTCCAGCTTATAGACAAGCATTCCTTAAGTTGTGCAGCAAAGTGCACCATTTTATTAGCAATTACGTAGTTGCTACCTGCACTGCGTTCTGAGGTCAAGAAATTAATGTCCCTACCATAAATACCCCTCTGCCAGGTTGTGATTTTAAATTGCACATCTGTTAATAATTTTTCTTGTCTACGATTTTGGAAATCTTTTCAGTATTTCAGCATAGTTTCTGTTACCTGTAGAACCCTGTAAAATAATGACAGGAATTAAGATGTTCTAGGGTTTTCCCTGAAGTCAGATAGAGTTTGAATGCTTTTAAAAAGAAAAGTAAAAATTTTAGTGCTATAAATCCAACTTAGCATGACTGAAGTATCTGTTCATGAAAAGACTCTATTTGGTTTGTTTAAAAGAAGTCTCTGGTCATTTTCTGGTGATCACAGTGAAATCCATCTTTCCTATGTATCATACATACATATTTTCTGTTTGATTCTACGGTCTTTGCTTGCGTTCAGCGCTGTTTTCCTGGATGAGTAAGTCCCTGGTGTGCTTAGCAGCTGTATGAAACCACTCATGTAAGACCTGATCAGCATGAAAAAGGGTTGAAGAACTTACTGCCTAAAAGAAATCTGTGTGGGTGTATTTTAATTGCTACATTACCGTGACAGTCTACAATATTTATCATTCTAAAGACTTCTTTGAAAAAGGAAAGATAAGTGGCTTGTGTGCAATAGAAAAACAGAGTCAATACATCAGATGTTTGTCAGATAAACCTTCTAGATCTACCCTGATGAAGGTATTGCAATTGCATGCGTGTCTGAGATAGTCTTGATGTCAAAAGCTTAATGCTTTGTGGTGCCTTTAGCCTTTCCGATTTCCCTAAGTGATCATAAAGTTACAGTCTTTCTAGGAGGTCACTAAGAATCCTGTCAGGAGGTTTTTATTATACTGGCAAATTCATACTGAATTGGTATTCATTTTCACTATTACAGAATAATCAAATCAGTGCTGTTATTATTATACTGTTGAAAAAGAAAATAATGGGGACATAATGTAAAACTGCTAATGTGATGAAGCACTCTTACTATGTTAGGTTAAGAATGCAACGGCTGCTTGTGTCAGCTTGCTTCAAGCAGTGATTGAAGGAGGAAATGGAGGGCGTTTCGTTTGTGGCAAGAGGTTACGTACGTTCTCATTTGAATGTGCAATTGTTTTTTGATGGCCGAAAGGGTGATTGCCTTGGTGGTTTGTGCTTTCTGCCAGGCTGTGTTGTTGGTTCTGGACTGCAGGAATATGACTGTTCCTACTGTCACACGTACGGTGCCGTGATCCCCCTTTTTAATCACGACTAGCATCTGATGGTTCTCACTCCAGGAGAAATGGCTCATATATTCTTTTATGTACATCCGAGGGTTGTTTTTTTTCCAAAAGGGAATAGAGCTTTTAGAGTACATTGTTAGGAAGTACAACAAGCCCCCTGAAGGTTCAAATCTGACAGGGATGTTAGGAGACAGGTCAAGTGTCTGCCTAATGAAGATGAATGGAGAAAATTGCTGGTACAAGAATCACGTGGTGGGCGCTTAGCCCAGGTTGCTGAAAGTGTGATGGAATCTCACGGCTTCATTTATCAGTGTCATATTTGGGCTAAAAGTGAGCAGTATTGTTCTCATTTCTTCCAGATGGATAGGTCAACTTTAATATTTATTGCTCTGGTAGAACATTTGTTTGATGTATTTCCATTAGCTAGGCAATAATAGAAAAGCAGTGGAGAGAAACATAAAACAGCTCCCTTCCTCTTCAGCTGAAATATGGCATACACTAATGTGTAAATATTTCTAAGACTGTCACTGTATTGCTTTTTTTTTTAATTTGATGACACGATCATATAAATTAAGGAGTTTTATAAAAATGGTAGAAAAACCACATCAAAGAAATATAGAATGTTTGACTTTTGGAGTTTGATTGTTAGTCTTTTAACTTTTCATGAACTCATAGTTCCTTTCAGGAATGGCTTTTGTTTAAAAATGTCAACTTTATATAGAGAAGACACAATAACACTGTGTTTGAAGGACCGTTACAAGGTCAGAAGTATTTTAGCAAAATCAACTTACAATTTTGGGTTTCTAAAATGGAATATAGGTATGTTTCAGTCATGTTTTTCTTCATTTCTGTTGTTGCTAATTACTTTTTGAGGGGAAAAGACCACTTAATCCATGTTGATGTGAAATTTTAAATAAATGAGGGAGCTAACCATTTTGAAATGGTAGCTTATAGCTAATAGTGGTAACCGCTGGTTACTATATATTGCTGGGTTTTTCCCATTTATAAGAATCAGGTTCGAGGTGTTTGACATACATTATTTTATGCTGTGGAAGGAAACTTAGCTGTTTATGAAGCAGGTGTTGTGTTAAGTGCAGTGCAAACATCCTAGCCATATGTTTCTATAATTTAAATTAATTTGGTACAGTCATACTGTTAATCTTTAGTGACTTGTTGATTGGCATTTTGCAGACATATTTCTGGAAGGCACCCAATACCATTTTCTGTAGCCTTTCTGCCAGTAGCAGAGAGTAACATTTCCACAAATTGGAATCTTGTACAGCTCTGGGAAGGGAGCCAAGATTTAAATTAGACAATAACCTCTGCTCTGTATATAGCTTCTATTCTTCAGCTGTAGGGAAAGTGATTTGTTTAATACAGTCAGCTCTGTAGCATATAATAGACTAATATATGAGTCACTCCTTGGCAGTGTGTGTTTCTTAAATTTATATAGATTGAACAACTAGTTGGTAATGTACTTAGTTACAGTTGTGCAAACAATAACTATTAGCAGAGCTGAACAGACCTAGAAAAAATTGCATTTGGTTGGTGTTTGCTAAGGATTGTGCAGAACTGTTGGATTTTAGAACAAACCTTCTCTTCAGGTGCAGAGGAAATAATGTCATAAACATGAGCATTGTTTGGCTTTGGAAAATCAGTAATGAAGCTTTTATATCATAGTTTAATGTTTCATATGTTTTGTATATGGACGTGTGTACACAGTGTTCCTTAAAAATTAAACTTGGCATCAGTCTGTGTTGTAGCTACATAATTGGGTTGCAGCTCTTTTTGTTTTGCCCTTGTATTTTTTTTCTCTCTTCATGTTAAAATCTGTTGCTGTCAGTTGATATTTGTGAACGCAAAGAATTCTTTTTTTTTTCCAAACAGCAAGGATCTTTTCTTAAAAGGAGAGCTCTTACATGATTTGATTCATGTTTATTTAAAAGCTTAAAATCATTAAACCAAATCTCACTTTTTGTCCAACAGAAAATTGATTTTGCGAACAAAAATGGTGTGGGCCTGAAAGAGAATATTCAGAAATATGCAAATAAGTAGAGATAGCAATCTGTTTGAGCAGCTGAACAAAGCAATCAATTTTTTCCCATTGAAAGTTTATTGAGCTTTACTGTGACCATTTTTGAACAAAATTATGAACTGCTGTTAGTGAAATATTTCTTTTTATAGAGAAAATGGAATTCTTTTTAAGCAGAACTATTTTTAATACTGTAAATCTTCCTGCCAGGTCTTATATTTACAAAATAAAGCACATTGTAAATATTGAACTATACACAGATGTATTTCCTAGCAATATGTAATATGCTGCATATTCTGAGTGGGTTCCAAGCAGTAGTTAGTATAAATGATATGCCAATCAAAATTATTTTTGCAACTATAACCTGTTATAATGCAGTCTCTTATCTCAAGCGTCAACTTGATATAAGCCAGATCTCCTTTCTTAAGCTTTAACTCTTACATGTATAATTTTCCTTGTCCTGAACTAATCCAGCTTCTGTCCCATAAGCTTCTTGGTAGTACACGACAGCAAAGCATAATTTATCTACTGGTTATATAAATCTTAATCATCACTGCTTCCTTTAGGTCATGTGCATTTTATTCCTTAGTCACGAGTGAATTGTCTACAGAATATCTGACGCGCTTCAGTGAGTAAGTTTTTCCTTCCAGGCCAGTTTTCTAAAAATTTTTTGAAAACAGTTCCCTGTAGCCGGCTAGATGACTACCGAGAATTTGGCAATTTCTGTTGGTAAATTAGTGTGTGGTTTCCTAATGTGCCAGGTTGATCATTATAGGTAGTTTAAGTAGTTCCTTACCCCAGTCTTCATTCCTGCCCAAGATGAAAAAGAAACTTTAATTGCATTTACCTCCCCAAATCCTAAAACGTTCAGTGTTTTAATTTTTGCACTGGGACCTCAGAAACACTTGCATCAACATAAGCAGCAGGATGCTGAATTGTAGAGCGAATAACTAAGTAAGTGGGTGGTTTGAAGTATGATGCACAATGAGATCTTCTCTGGAACTGGACGTCTCTTAGTGACTTGGCTGCAGGTGACAGCGCTGATGTCATGACTTCGAGGCACTGGAATGTCCTTTAGTTTGGTTCCCATTGCCACTTGTAGCTGAAATCGAATCCTGCATATAATCGTTTTATGGAAACTGGATGCTCTGGATCTCCTTCGTTGTCATTGATGATGATTCTAAATTTTGACAACTGTTCAGATGACCCAGGAACCTCTGGTGTGAGGGGAACCTGTGAAATTACCATTTTTAGATTCTGATAATAAAAATACCTCTTAACGAGGCTGGAGCTCTATCATGTTCACAAGCTGAACACGATGCTATATCTCTGAAAGAGACGGACGTTTCCTGAGCCAGCAGCATGGGCTGTGCTTCTGAGGGGTTGAAGAGACTGAAAAGGGGCCTGACTTTCCACAGGTTTGTGTTTATGGAGCAAAACATGGGAGGACTGAACGCAGTGGAAAGAGAATTTGCGTTTGAGAGCGATGAAGGTTTTGTAGAGGTTTGCCATATTGTCAGAGAAGGAGTATTCTTTCAATTTAGTGTCCTGTTGATGAAGGGTTTCATGTTTGCATTCTGTAAGGAGTGCAACCAATAGGCACACCCTCGCTCACTCCTTATCCCCTTTTCACATATATGTGATTAAATATTACAACAGGGTAGAAACTTCTTTCTTATCTCAGAAGATGATATATTTATATATTGAAAATTGGTAGCCCTTTTATTTTTTTTATAGTAGCTAGTTTAGCTGTGGATGATATCCCAGTTACCGGAATATAGCGAATAACCACCACCTAAATCAAATGGTACAGCCTGATTTATATAGGCAAATAACCCTTCACCATTTTTCTCCCTTGTAAGTACCACTGCAGGTTTCTGTTTTTCCTAGATAGCCCATAGATAAATTATTGTTTGTATTTTGATTTTTACAGGAGGTGTTGGGGATGGAGTTTTTATGTATATATGTATATAAAAGCAGAGGTGTTTCTTATAACCAGTGCTTTCTGTATGTGGTTAGATGAAGGTGGGATTATAGCACTGGAAGAGATTCTGTGTCGCGTGTGATCTGTCACTGTTGTTTTCAGTGGTGGTAGGGAAGGTTCTGCACAGAGATGTGTGGAAGATTATCATGGCATGTTACCCAGAGTTTAGCTTGCACATGGACAACTGTTCCATGCTGCTGGGAAGGCAAAACCATACGATTGTGTGGGAGACAAAATAAAAAGACCTTCTTCTCTTGAATTAGTTGTCTGGAAATATGTGACTAACTTAAATTTCATATTCACTGTTACAACCTGCCCTTTTTTTTCAAAATTTATCTTTTTCTTATGTATCTGATAAGCTAATTTTTATTATCCTGCTCTTGTATTCCTTGTCTTAACTGTATTACTCTACGGGCCCTTCTTCTGTCCATTTTCTGCCTCCTGGTACCTAGCACTGGTACCTCATTTATATAGCGCTTATGTATCATTTTATTCCTCTCAAAACCAGATTATGTATATAATTTTTGGTTCTCCCATTAAAATATATATTATATATATTTTTATGTTGCCCTTAACAAGTTTTGAAGATACCATTGAGCAACCTTGTTTTGATTAACAAAGGAAATCTCTTTAACTGGAGAACTGTTGTAATAATTCCAAGGCAGATCAGGCAAACAATTAAAGGCAAAACTGTTATGCTCAGCATGGTTAGGGGTTTTGCAAGTCTAAAAACCACTGAAGAATAAAATATCAGAAACGAATGAAGTGAAAGTCATGATTCACAATACCATTTAGTTTTCACTGTGACCAATTATTTATTTCCCCATCGTTGGTTGGTATTTTCCTCTTTCAGTGGCAAGAGAGCCGCCAGAACGTCACACACTCTTCCTCTGTTCCTGCCGCCTTCGTGTTATTCGCACTGACGGTGAGCAGTGTTTCCCAGTTCGAGTAGGAAAAGTGACTGAGAAATTTTACAGTAAAGCAAAGTCCTCAGTTTTGGAGACACTGAAGCAACCAACCTTGTGGATTTCCTGTGATTTGTTCTTACTGTGAACATATTAGGCAATTGTTTTGTTTTTCATGCTCCCTTCTGTGGTTTTGCACTTCCTCCCTAGAACTGGACGTGGGGTTAGCAGTTCCAAGCTCTTACTATCACAGAAACATGATCTTTGTTGTAAAATTGACTATTATATGATCCAAAATATAATACTGTAATGAGACATCCTTAGCCCTGGGTATTTGGATAAAGAACCAAAACAGTACATGGGATTTTCTGAGACTGTAGTGAGTGCAGGTCTCACTTCTACTACACAAAGATTTCAGATCTCTGGGAAATTTTCTATACAAAAGTAGGATGGAATGATGAGCTCCAAGATATAAAATAAAAATGAGGTAACTCCCAGTAGTTTGCAGCTAGTTGTATCAGGCATCTGCCTACCAGAAGCACACAGTTATGCTACAAAATATTACTTTGTTCCATCAGAATGGTTTCTGTATCAAAAATACTGTCTCAGGGACACCCAAGGAAATGTTTCTGTATAACTCAGATCATATGCCATCAGCTGATAAGGAAGACTTTAGAGTGCTACATGAATATAAACTTTTCTCATTTGACGTCCAATTATTAACCTGTCTTGTAATTAAAAGTTATTCCTAGGAATATCTTGCATAGTTTCTGAAAGCTCAGACAAAGAAAGTTCGTTAAGAGATTACAGCTAATTCACACATCTAGTTTGAATTCACGCTAAAGCTAAATCTGATTATTTTAAAGTCAACGGAAAAGTATTCCACTTCTTGCACATCTTTGGTGTGAACAGCCTAAGACAATGAATTGTCTCAGTCCACTAAATTAGAAGAATATTTCCAGACTGTGAGTTGAGCTGTGGAACAGCTTGACAACAGAAATGGCACTAGGATCTAGCATCTCTTACACTTCGAGGAAAGAAACTCAAGAATTTGCATGTCTCAAAGCTCAGGCTTGCTTTATCAAGACACGAAGAGTAATACTTGACTACTGAAGAGAGTTTTTATGGCCATTTTTAGTCTTATATTAAAAACCAGTATGTTTTCTACGGCATCTGAAAATCATGGGGGCTGTTATATTACTGAGATACCTGGTGTGCTTTTTACTATGCACTTAATAATAATAAGTTGTTAGTATTTTGAAACATCAGTGCTGAAGATCACCTGAAGACTTGAGAGGTCTGGCTTTCAACCTCTGCATGTGTGAGACTGTTGGTCAGGTTGCACCTGAAATAAGATTATAAACAGAGCGCCTTGATTTTTTGTAACTGGCATTAATTTGCTTAATATAAGATTTCAGTATATTAACATTAGGATTTTCATGGAGTTTTTTATTACTGGGAGTGAAGATTTGGAGTGAAACTTGTATTTATTTCACTCATTGTAAATGGAATTTGCTGTGTACCCTTTGTGTGTCCTCAACGTACGACAGAACCTCAGGGGCTGCAATCAATATCAGAAATAATTTCTCTACCCACTTACAAGACAAAGTACAGTGACCCAATTAAGTGAAGAAAATGCTAGACTGTAGTAATGGATGAAAATGCAATTAAAGTAGGTTACTCACCTACAAAATAAACTTTCTGCTGCCCAGAACATTGCCTTTAGGTTGGAATGAAACAATCAGAAGCTAAAGATAGATAAATTAAGCCTGATTAGTCTCAGTGGCGTAAATTAAGAATACAAGGTAGCATGAGGGATTATTCCACTCTTAAATTTAATTCTCCTCTACTGTTACTGCAGAGCATTGCATCCAGTTCAATCTTGCACATTTAAATAAAGTTGGTTGTTGCTGAAGACTCTCCAGAGGCGTCCCTCCTGTGGGATTTGTAATCCAGCTCCAAGTAAAAATAGTGGAGAAATCTTCCAGGTTTAACATTGATGTAAGCTAAACAGCAGGAAGTGATGTGCTGTGTGCCCGTTTCCCACATGCATCTGTAATCTATATTACATTGACACACATAATTTTTCCGTATTGGAAAACATCTTCACCTGAGGAAAATTGGCAAATCTTGTGCCTGTCAGTCATTTTGTTGTACAACCGCTGTTCTGACGTGGTTAGCCTATGGAATCCTTGAGCCTCATCTGTGCGTTCCTGATCTTCCCACATAGTAGGGCATTGCTGGTTGCATCCTGCTTAGGCTGAGGGTAACTGTCACTGGCTCTAGCACTGGCGTTGGTGTTTTCTGGGTGGGTTTTCTCTGTTTGGCAGTTGGATATGTGTGTAGCAAGAGCAGAGTTATATCCTACTGACTGTCTTTGCAATAGATGGCTTGCTTTGTACAGCCTTGTACATAATGAAGTAGCGTTACTGTTTTTCTATTTGATTAGGATTACTATTTCTAAAGTGGAAAGTATTTAATTTCAGAAAAAAAATGGCAAGAACCCATGGTATCAACATGACTGAGAGTTGAGATATTTAAGATTTTATGCATGTACTGATTTCAACCTGAAAGGATCTTGACTGATCCTCCATTATGACTATTATAAAATATCCACATCTGCTTCACCCTTGATCAATTTTATATTTAAAACTTGATATAATTTGCTGGAGTAGTAGAGCTGAATCACAATCTAGAATGGAATTTACAATTTTTGTTGGAGTGAGTGAAATTTCATATAAGATTCTAAGAAAAGCTACTTACAGCCCAACAGTGGTATAATCACATAACTTTAAATTCGTGTGAGAAAATGTTACAGTAATCTTTAATATAGTGATATAAAACTATTTCTTGGGATTCTAAGAATAAATGCTGTCATTATGTTAAGAAATGCTTATATAAAATAAATGGAAGGGTAGACATAATTAACACCTTGGTTGTATGAACTTAATGCCTGTGAGAGGAAGGTGAAACAGAAACGTTCATATGGTGAAAACAGTTCTGCATTTATGCATTTCCCCCTCCAGAAAAACTCTACAGGTATCCCATACAGCAAGTAAAAATAAACTGTTAGGGTAAAAGGATACTCAAATAGAGGTGTTGAATGTGTCAGAGCCCTGCTGGGGGGCAGTTAAAGAGGGCCCTGCCACGGTGCATTAGGGCAGGAGGGGACATGGTCTCTCTCAGGACCTCGCTGGCTTTCAGGTGCCATGTGTGGTGGAGGACACCTGTCCCTGAGCAGGACATGAGCAGCTCCAGCTGTGGCACCCGATGCTGCTGTCACAACCCGGAGGGGCGTTGGGGAAGTGGCTTGTGACCCCAGAATCAACCTCACAGAGGTGGTTTGGTTTTCTCTTGCAAGGTATTTTGCGGCACCACGTGTACGTGTTGAGGCCATTTGGAGAGGCTGTTGGTCTTCCTCTGTTTGGTAAATGTCGTGGAGAATAAAGGCACCTCCACCCTCTCACTGAGCTGTGGAACGGGAGCAACTGCGCTTTACCCTTGCTTTGGTTTTTTAGAACAGTTGTGGAAAAAAGCATAATTTAACCGCCATCTGTCCTCTGATGTCATCAGAAATAAGATCTTATGTGTGATTTGAGCTGTTTAGAAAGATG